ACATTATTACTGTACTGGCTAACATCCCGGGTAAAGCTGCAATCACTGCCGCAACACATCCTTACTGGCGAACATCTCGGGTAAAGCTGCAATCACTGCCGCAACACATCCTTACTGGCTAACATCCCGGGAAGAGCAGTAGTCACTACCCTGTGTACTTTGCTCCGTTAATGCTCCTGCTGTGTTCAGTGATTCTTGAGGGCTTATTTATTAACCATTGAACTGGAGTATACTGAAAATCTAATTGCAAACTCTGGTCTAAAATGCCGTGCTGTGACTAGAGACTGAGGGAGATGGATCAATAGGGGGCTTTTTTAAGACAGGGGTGATAATTCTCTATTTAAGGCAAAACAAATACATTGTAGGAAATTGAAAACAGAATTACAAGATTGAAACATTGTCTCTCTCTCCATGTGCCTTTGCAATTCAGTGTCTGATTCCCAGAATGTGCCATTTAGATAGTAAACCTGGTAATAAGTAACGGTGCTCTCGGTGTTTAGTGAATAAAGTGAGAACTTACAGTGTGCAGGTCTGATCAGCCTGGGGGAAGCTGTGTTTAGACAGTGGCTGTCTGCTCTGCATTAAACTGTCTGAGTTGGCAGCATGCATTGCAGTTACACTGTGTCCAGGTTCACAATGAGGCTTGGAACAAACCGCACCTACTACGTTATTCCACTGTCTATTGGCCTCTGGCTTCACAGGACATGGAGTTAACTTCATTGTAGCTCTGTGATTGGTTGAGATATTAAAGCTCTGTCATTAGCTGGTTTATTAACCCCTTAAGGACGGAGAGTATTCTAAACGTTCTGATCAAAACAAAACCTGGAATTTGGCGATCTGTCTGTTCAGGCGTAATTCACCTCTTTCATATTAACTGCACCTACACTTATTATATATCGTCTTATTCAGGGAAACAGGGGCTTTCATTTCACATCAATATATATCAATATATACATAATTTAATATGAATAAAATCAAAAATAATGTGAGACATTAAGAAATGTTGTTATTTTCCTGCATGGCATTTTAACTGTGAATGTCATAACACTGATAACTTTTACTGCAATAAAATACACGTTTGTGTTCACAGAGCCACAGTATTTACCAAGGAACATTCTTCTGACACATCCCCCAATGTTTCTGATGATGGGGGTCATGTTTGGAATTTTATGTATTTTGATATTAACATGTAATGTCATTATAAATGTATATTTATGTCTTTGTCTATGTATAATTATATGCTTTTATTATTTATATATTTGGGGATCTACCTGACAACCCAGCCAGTCCCCCTGCAGTAAACCTATCAATCACGCCAATCCGAGTCATGTGATCACAGTGTCATGGCGAGCACACGACTTGGATAGGCGGAATTGGCATAAGGTGAACTTGTCAGGCAGCCCCCTCTATCGCGTGCAATGTCGCCCTAATGGCATAAACCCCTCCATTTGTAGGATGGCATAGCTTGCCCGTGGTAGGGATGGGGTTAAACGTCTACACAGGTAATGATATAGATAACTTTGATAGATGGCTATTTCTTTTAAGTAATTTATAAAGAGGCAATTTTCATTCATATATATATATATATTGTGACAGAACCATCTGTCTGCTTGGATTTTTACTACGTTCGTCTGTTTGTCCCCCGTTCGTATGAATGGCTGGTTGCTATAGCCCAGCCATTCGAATGACTCTTTTTCCCGAACAAACCTGCCGAACGAACGGCCACCCAAGTGAGGAGTGTGCTGCTGGTTAATGAAGTGATCCCAATTAAAACGTTGTGGTTAACCGCAGACACTTCTCAATTAAACCGAATTCAGGGTGGTCGTCGTTCGTATGTCGACCACGAGGCAGCGGCCATTTTAAATCAAGCGAACGCCCAGCGGTGTTTGGCTCTATTTCTATGGAACTGAAAGCGGACACTTTTTCTGCCGAACACCGCTGAAACAACGGAACGCCTGGCTGCCTCCACGAAAGCATGCGAACACCGGCCGTTCGGGAGATTGAGAGCATACGAAAAGACTTAACCCAGATAGCCTTCCCATGGAGTCATTCGTATACCGAAAGACTGTAAGAACTTTGACTCCATGGCGATTGAACTATGTGTGTGGGATCTGAGCGCTATTCGCTAATAATATGCACTCAGATCCAGGCTATCTGGGGACATGTAATACGAATGGGAAATGTTCAGTTTTTATGTAGTTATATATTTTTATGTCTTTTATTATTTTATGTCTAAGATGGCGACTGGCTTTGTCCTGGAGTTAATTGAGTTACTTGGTAATTAACTCCAGGGTAGAGGGGAGGGAATCATAATGCACTGTGGGTAAAATCTGTGACTGTGTGTCTGGAATGTCCCCATATCTGTCTGTAATTTAAGTCTCCCATTTGGTCCCCTAGGGGAGTGTCCACCAGGTGGGAGACCTGCATAAATACGGGCAGGTAGCCCACAGTAAAGCCAGATTCTGTTTGACCCTCAATGCGGAGCTTCTGTCTCGTTATTGGGGGGATTTCTTCTTCACGTTTAGAGACTGCTGGATGGAACGAAAGCCGCTTGGGGATATTGCTGTTCGACGGTTACCAGCAGTTCGTGTATTGCCGTTCGGGAGTTTGGAGCCGTTCACGGATCTCGATCGGGAGATTGCCGCTTCCCCTGCATTTGGTTCGTGTGTTACAGAGTAAGCGAACGGAGACTGTACTGCAGCCGGGGAAGGTCTACTAAACGGCGGTTTGGCTTAAAGACACTAGAGGTGTCTTAACAATTGGTGGCAAGCGACGGGATGAATCCTACAGCATTGGAGGTCAGCTACAAGACATGCAGTACGAGGAATTAAGGCGTGCTACACTTAAGGACATATTGGAACGCCGAGGAAGGTCAGCAAGCAACTTAAAGAAACGGGAGATTATTGCTTTGCTACTGGAGATGGATGCAGCAACGGGAATGGAGAGAGTCAACGTGCTCAGTACCTTGGATTTAACACCCGAGGAAATACAATTTAACCGGGCAGTGCAAATAAGGCTGGCACATTTTGGCCCCAACCCCTCAGCTGACATCGTGGAGCGTGTGCAGGCAGCAGTAGCAGCACAACAGGTGCTCCGGGAAAGAGGAGCTGCAGCAGCAGAGGTACCTTACAATAATAATGTGTTTGCTAGAAAAAAGCTACCTTTTGCTGCATTTAAAGATTTTGTGGAAACTGAGGGAGAGATTGATGGGTTCCTAGCGGACTTCGAGAGGCAGTGTGCTCTACATCAGGTACCTGCAGATGAATGGGTCACCATCCTCTCTGGGAAATTATCTGGCCGGGCTAGTGAGGCGTTTTGGGCCATCCCTGAGGAGGAGATCACCAGCTACCGGGCTGTGAAAGATGCGCTCCTAGCCAGGTATGCGGTGACCCCAGAGGCGTACAGGCGGAGGTTTAGAGAAACCAACAAGCTGGTTGGGGACTCTTATGTGGAGTGGGCCTGCAGAGTCCATCGTACCGCAGCCCACTGGATGGCTGGATGCCAAGCGGTAACTGGGGAAGAGGTATTACAAGTGTTCCTGCTGGAACACTGCTTTGATAGACTACCTGCTGGGGTCCGGGAGTGGGTCAGAGATAGAAAACCCTCTACCCTACCCGAGGCTGCTCGTCTGGCAGACAAATACACGGATGCCCGCAAGTTGGATGGTACAGCTTCCAAAGCCCCTGCCAGACTGGAGTATCGACCAGCAGTAATACCCGCTCCTTCAGTCTACCAACCCCCAGTACACCGTAACCCAGCCACACCGCCAGCTAACAATTTTGTACAGCCCGCACGATTTAATGCCCGTGAATATTCCCAACCCATCCGGTGCTTTGGGTGCAAGCAGTTGGGGCACAAGCGTCCTGAGTGCCCACTGAACAGTGCCAACCAAGCTCAGTCCTGGAGGAGACCAGTCAATGGGAACCAGCGCCCACCTCATAGAGCAGGAGGAATTCTGGGGCATCCTACACGAGGCAGACCCAGTGCAAGCAGCTCACCAGGATAATCTCCAGCAACATCGGCAAACTGTGAAGCTGTATGGCAGAGTGGTAAATGGGTTGCGAGACACAGGAGCCACGATGACACTACTCC